TTTCTGTTAGTTTTGTTGTTGATATGCTCAATTATGCTGATAGTTTTCCTAATATTGAACCAGCCCTGCATTCCTGGTATAAATCCTACCTGGTCATAGTGTATTATTCTTGTGATAAGTTCCTGTAATCTATTTGCTAATATTTTGTTTAAAATTTTTGCATCTATATTCATTAGACAAATTGGTCTACAATTTTCTTTCTCTGTTTTGACTCTTCCTGGTTTAGGTATCAGGAATTTTTGTATCATAAAAAAAATTTGGTAAGACTCCTTCTTCACCTATTTTCCCAAATAGTCTATATAGTATTGGAATTAATTGTTCTTTAAATGTTTGATAGAATTTACATGTAAATCCATCTGGCCCTGGAGATTTTTTTCCATCAATGGCTTGTTCAATTTCTTTTTCTTAGATGGGGTTATTTAAGTATTTTACTTTCTCTTCTGTTAATCTGGGCAATTTATATTTTTGTAAATATGTATCCATTTCACTAAGATTGTCAAATTTGTTGGCATATAGTTGGGCAAAATAATTGCTAATTATTGTTTTAATTTCCTCTTCTTTGGTGGTAGCTTCACTCTTTTCATTCTTGATACTAGTAATTTGGTTTTCTTCTTTCTTTTTTTAATTAAATTAACCAAAGGTTTATCTCTTTTATTGTTTTTTTCATAAAACCAACTCTTAGTTTTATTTATTAGTTCAATAGTTTCCTTAATTTCAATTTTATTAATTTTTCCTTTGGTTTTCAATATTTCTAATTTCGTGTTTAATGGAAGATTTTTAATTTGTTCTTTTTCTAGTTTTTTTTTAGTTGTATGCCCAATTCATTGATCTCCTCTTTTTCTATTTTATTTACGTAAGCATTTAGAGATATAAAACTTTCCCTAAGAACTGCTTTTGCTGCATTCCATAAGTTTTGGTATATTGTCTCATTATTGTCATTCTCTTGAATGAAATTATTGATTGTTTCTATGATTTGTTGTTTGACCCAATCATTTTTTAGGATTAGATTATTTAGTTTCCAATTAATTTTTAATCTATTTTTTCATGGCCCTTTACTGCATATAATTTTTATTGCATCATGATCTGAAAAGGATGCATTTAATATTTTTGCCTTTCTGCATTGGATTATGAGGTTTTTATGCCCTAGTACATGGTCAATTTTTGTGCATGTGCCATGTACCACTGAGAAAAAAGTATATTCCTTTCTGTCCCCATTCAGTTTTCTCCAGAGGTCTATCATACCTAACTTTTCTAATGCTCTAGTCACCTCCTTAACTTCTTTCTTGTTTATTTTGTGGTTGGATTTATCTAGTTCAGAGAGGGGGAGGTTGAGGTCCCTCACTAGTATAGTTTTGCTGTCTATTTCTTCCTGTAACTCTCTGAACTTCTCCTCTAAGAATGTGGATGCTATACCATTTGGTACATACATGTTTAGTAATGATTTTACTTCATTGTCTATGGTGCCTTTTAGCAGGATGTAGTTTCCTTCCTTATCTCTTTTGATAAGATCTATTTTTGCTTCTGCTTTGTCTAAGATCAGGATTGCTATCCCTGCTTTTTTACTTCAGCTGAAGCATAATATATTGTGCTCCAGTCTTTTACCTTTACTCCCAGCACTCTTTCTATGGGACCACTCTGCCTCTTCTTCTGGCATCCTCAGCAGAGTCCATTGGATAGAGCTGGATTTGGAGTCAGGAAGGCCTGAGTTCAAAGGCTACCTTGGACAATTACTAGCTAAGTGACCCTGGGCAAATCCTTTTTTGGCCTGTAAAAGGAGGGATTGGGGGGTGGGGATGGGGAGTGGCACAGCTAGGTGGCATAATGGTTAGAGAACCAATCCTAGAGTCAAGAGGACTTGAGTTCAAATTTGTACTCAGACACTCATATAGCTGTGTGATCCTGGGCAAGTCACTTAACCCTGCCTCAAAAGACAAAAAAAAAAAAAAAAAAAAAAAAGAGGGGATTAGACCTAGACAGCTGCTGGCCCTCTTTCAATTGTCAAATTAGACGATTAATGCTATCAAAGAGAAAATCCTCTTTAGGTTTTAGAGACAAATGACCGCTCAATACCTACTCATCTTCTTTAACCTATAGGATGACCCCTAGGTAATAAGGCTTCAGGAAGCAAGAAGAAAATCGAGTCCTGAATCTGCCACCCACAGATTTCCTATAGCAAGGGTCCTCAAATGAATCACCTGTTAAGTTAAACTATTAACTTTAAAAGTTTATTGTTGTTGAGTCCTGTCTGACTCTTTAAGACCCCATCTGGGGTTTTCTTGACAGAGATACTGGAGTGGTTTGCCATTTCTGCCTCCAGTTCATTTTTCAGATGAGGAAACTGAGGCAAATAGGGTGAAGTGACTCACTCAGGGTCACACATCTAGTAAGTGTTTGAGGCTGGACTTGAACTCAGCAAGACTCCAGGCCCAGCACTGCATGCGCCACGGCACCCCCTAGCTGCCCATAAGTCTACAAGGTACCCAGAAATGTTTTTAGTAACCTGAGAAGAAACTTAATGAGGAAACTGCACAAGGACAGGTAGTGTTGGGCCAGGAGAGACCCAAGTTCAAATCTTCCTGTCTCATGTGAGCCCTCCCCAACCTTTGAGGCAGCCACCCCAAAATCAGCTTCCTAGTGTTTGGGGGCTCTGTGTCTGCTCCCATCTCCCACTGCACTGCCCACAGCATGGGGACCACAGTTGGTCACTCGTCTGAATTCAGGAGGAATGAGCAAAGCTGGTAGGGGTGTGTGGTGTGTGTGTGTGTGTGTGCACTTGTGCACATGCACATGCATGCCACGTAGAAGCCACAGGTCTGATCCCCCTGCAGAAGTCCCCCCCCCCCAGCTCTGACTGTCCTCCTCTGGTGAGAATCAGGGCTGTGCCTATTACACATCTTTACCGCATGTGCTGTGGAGCTGCCTGGGAACAATTCTGGCTAGAGAAGCACAGCACTTGAACCCGACATCCCTACAAATAATGCTGCTGCCCCCCACTCCACACACACGCCATGGGAAGGGGCTCAGTTGCCCTATCTTATATGATTAAGCCTATCTTGTTTCCCAGGTCAGGAACAGGCCACACAGAGTAGTGCAAAGGGCAAGAGACGCAGACCCTAGAGGACCTGGGTCCAAAATCTGTCCTAAAGCACTTACTAGTTACAGGACTCCAGACCTCAGTTTCCTTCCCTGTAAAACAAGGGAGCAGGGGGTTGGATTAGGTGGGTCTCAAAGATCCCTTTCAACTCTAAATCTATGATTCTGTGGACGGGGGTGATCAAAGCAGTAACATTAACAGGAAATGGGTAGGAATTCGATTGATGGTGGGGGGGTGGCAAGAAGACTGAATGTAGCCTGGACATAGTAACATAGACTTGCAATCCCAGTAGGGGATCTCTTGAGCTCAGGAGTTCTGAGTTTCAGTTGTCGGATAAGCCTATCTAGCGTCCACACTAACTTCTATATTAATATGATAAACTGATGGACAGCAGGGGGCCATCAGGTCAGAAACAGAATAGGTGCAAGAGCCTATACTGTTGAAGATAGTAATAATAATAGCGGCCAGCATTAATATATCACCTAAAGGTTTACAAATATTATTTCATTTTATCCTCACAACAACTCTGTGAGGGAGGGGCTCTTGTCCCCATTTTACAGATCAGGAAACTGACACAGAGAGAGGTTAAGTGATTTGCTCAGGATCACCCAGCTAGTAAGTGTCTGAGGCTGGATTTGATCTTCCTGACTCCAGGTCCAGGGAGGGATCCAGCACTGAATAGGCTCTTCCCTTCAAGCCTGAGCAAGTTAGAAAGAACAAAGGGAAGGAGAAGGAAGGAAAGAGCTAACTTTTCTTCTAATGGTGTAGGTTCTGCAATTGTTAAACATGAGGCCGGCACATAGGGCCACCAGAACCAGATTCAAATGCAATTGGGAAATATTTAACAAAATAAAACTAATAAAACAAGCAATAAAATGAACAAAATAAAAAACACAATAGAACACAGATGATGTTAACATGTGGTTTTCTCACAACAAAACAGCTGGTAGAAACATTTCATCATTTCTTTTCTTGTATTAAAAAGATGAATCCAAACACTTCAAGATTTTTAAAAGCTCAAAGACTAGTTGAGGATAATATTGTTTGAGGAAAAAAAGCCACTCTCTAAACATCTCTCGATAGCTTCATAAAAAAAAAAAATGTGCACAGCCAACCTCCAGTGATAAAGGCTAGGTGCAGTGGGTGCGGAAGGGGCAGCACTTTGTACACCCATGTTAACTTTACCGTACAGTACTGTGCCTACTTTATCATTAACTTTAACTTTCATAATTTTGTCTATTTATCCTAGTACAGTATTCAACATGTTGGCATTTTAGTCCATTTTATGACTTGAATAAAAGTATTTTGGGGGGGTATGCCTTTGGTACATAGGCTGTAAAATGAGTTGGAGAAGGAAATGGACAAATCACTCCAGTATCTCTGCCAAGAAAACACCAAACAGGGTCATGGAATCCGACAACTGAAAACTGAACAACAAGTACTCGAACAACAAGGCTGAGTGAAGTGGGTGGGTAAGGGCAAATTCACTTTAAGTAAAAATCACTTTACGGTAGAGGTCCACTTTGGAAAGCCCAGAATGGTCAGTATTAACATTACCTATTGTATTTTTATTTTGTTAAATATTTCCCAGTTACATTTTAATTTGGTTCTTCTTATCTCTCCTTTAGGGGATAGAACTCTGGACCTGGAGTTAATCTCTGGGTTTGAATCCACCTCAAATGAAAGTCATTTCACCTCTGGTTCCTCAGTTTCCTTTTCTATAAAATGAAGGGGTTGGATTCCATGACCTTCCAGATCCCTCCCAGCTTTAAAGCTGATTCCCAACTCATCATTCTTTGTGCTGTCCTATCTCCCTTCCTCCCTGGAATCAGTGTAGATGCTTCATTAACAAACTTTGCTAACCTTGGGATTGTTCCCAAACATCCTTCTCTCCAAATACATCAACTCCCACAAACACATAGCAGTTTATTAAGTTACAGCAAGGACTTTATAAAAATGTGTTTTCCCTGTAGTGGACAATAGGATCCTGGTCTTGCAAAGATAAAAATCATTTCTCTACAAAAACCATCCCCCACAAAGAAATAGGCATTTGGCTGGCAGTTGGGTTAGAAAATAGGAAAGGATCAGAAAAACACTCCAAGGGTCTCAGCATCCTTCAGAATTTCTGTTCCAGATGAACACAATTAAGAGCACTTTGGAGAAGAGAGTGAAATCCACTGGAGGGGTAGCTGACCCAGGGCTGTGTCCAAAAGCATTGGAGTCACTCTTCTTGGCTGTTCTGACCTCAGGATAAGAAGAGATGGGGCAGCCAGTAACCCTAAACTGCAGACTCCACCCAGAACCTGGGGCATGGGTGTCAAGACACCAGGTAAAGGCATATTATTTAGTCAAAAGGTTTTGGGTTTGTTGGTTTTTTTTTTCAACCCTCCTAGCAGGGGAGAATTATCTTTTAAATTAAATGCAATTATATTCTCCAAGAGAGAAGAGTCGCTGGGGCAGGTTTTGACTAGTTGCTGTCATCCCAGCTTACCCAAAGTGCTGCACAAAGGATGGGCCAGGGCTGAGACTTCCTGCCAGCCTGCCCTGGGCGTGGCAGGTGATGTCAGCATGTTTTCCCTGCCCCTCTGCACACCTGGAGAAAAGGAATCCTAACTGTGCGTTTGGTGGGGAAAGGGGCGGGGAGCGGAGAGCACTAAAGGGGGAGGTAGTCCAATTAGCATCTTGTTGAGGACCTCTGGGCAGGAGAGAAAGGGCAGACCAGAAGGAAACCTCTCTACCTTCTTCCCTCCAGGGGTTGAGCTGTGAGGGGGAGGCTCCCGAGCTTTTGGCTCCATCTGCAGGTCAGTTTTCAAAGCCTTACCTGTTGAGGAAAATGGAAGATAATAATAATAATAAAAAAAAAATAACTAACATGTATATAGCACTTACTATATGCCTAACACTGTGCTAAGTGTTTTACAATTATTATCTCAATCCTCACAACAATCCTGAGAGATAGGTGCTATTATTATCCCCATTTTACAGGTGAGGAAACTGAGGCAAACAAAGGTGAAGCGACTTGCCCAGGGTTACACAGGTAGTAAGTGTCAGAAGGAGGCGTTGATTCCGAACCCCACTCCTATTGCAGAGATTAAGAATCCTACAGGATCACACACCTAGAACTCTAGGAGACTGCAGAAGTCATATAGGCCACTAGGTGGCGCCATGGTGCACAGAGCTAGTCGGCAAGATGAGTTCAAACACTTCTGAGTTTCACCTGTCTGCCTCAGTTTCCTTGTCCGTAAAATGGAGGCATAATAGCACCTAGCTCCCAGGACTGTTGTGAGAATCAAATGAGCTAATATTTGTAAAGCGCTTAGCACAGTGCCTGGCACATAAATGCTCTTGACTTAACAATCCCTAAGGTTTGGGTTTTTTTTTTTTCCCTTTCCTGCCAAAGGTAAAAATGCAAACTCCTGCTCACTTTCATAAATAGGACTGTTTATAAAAGGAACCAAAAGTATTGTTTATCTTCAACTCCCAGGTCTCGTCCTCTGTCTGAAGAAGTTTGTTACCAGCAAAACAGGAATCAAAATCAAGTGGGGCCATGGTTTTAATTCTGAGTATCAGTAAAGGGGACCAGTAATGTTCCAGCTTCCTTTCTGCAGCACCCACAGTCACCTGAGGGAGAAACCACAGCAGGCAGGCCTGCATTTTCACTTTCCTCGCTCACCTCCCCGTTCTGTCTCTGTTTCCAGCCCTGCTCCCTGAAGTCCCCTTCTCTCCCTGAAGGATCCCGGTGGAATAGAGAGTGCTGGCCTTAGAGACAGGGAAACCTGAGTTTGAAAAATCCCCACCTCGGTGATTTACAACCCCGGGCAAGTCACTTCTCTCTGAGCCTCAGCTACCCCATCTGTAAAATGGGGATAATAATAGCAACTGCATGACAGGAGCAAATGAGATCATGAACACAGAGTGCTTTGAAAACTTTGACAAGCTATTATTAGCTGTGTTCCACAGGACAGTACGTAGTCCAACCTGGTATTTGCTGGACTGGGTCCCACTTCTCTGGGAAGGGTTATTGGATAGTATAGTCTTACGCCTGACTGGCTGCTCGGTGCCCAGGGTGTCGAAAAACTGGGTTTCCGTTAAGATAACTGGGAGAGAGAAAGAAAGAGCCCACAGGAGTTTGGGGTGGGGAGACTGCTTTCCGGAATTAAAAAAAAAAAAAAGAAGAGGAAGTTGGGCTAAGTGAGCAGTTACATCCAAAGAAGCTTATTCCCGGTCTTTTTGTCCCCTGAAACTTCAGTAGCAGACCTTGGGGCCCATATCATCACTTCCCCCCAAATCCGCCAAGCCAGCAACTCTCTCTCCGGCACTCAGTTCCCCTGCCCTTCAACACACTGTGGTATTTGTTTGGCTGGGGAGTGGAGAGAGGGCAAAAAGAATTAGCAAGTCATTTATTCATCTGTTTTCCGCCAAAAAAAAAATCAGCGTGAATTAGCAAAAACCCAACACAAGAGGGGTTAATGAACCAGATCTCAATTGCCTAGGGAAAAAAATGTGACTTTACTCTTCAAGTATTTTCCTGTAATACTATTCTCATAAAAGGGATGATAGGGGCCTCTAGGCTGTCTAGGCTCTAGACAAGGGCTTCTTAACCCAGGGTCCAGCCCACGGATAAATTTCTGGGGTGGGGTCCTGAATTTGGAGGAGGAAAAAAATTCACATCTTTATTTTCACTTAACCTCTTACCGAAATTTAGCATTGCCTGCAATTACTTAAAAACATTTTTCATAAAAGAGGTCCATAAGCTTCTCCAGGCTGCCAGCAGAGTCCATGACACACAAAAATTCAGAAAAACACTTCTTTGCCTAGCTCTGATCAGCTCTTAGGGGTCTGAAGGAAGTACCTGTGCCAGAAGTAACCCACAGAAGGCACTGAGGGGCTTCAATAGATTCAGGTGGCTCTTGGACACCCAAAGATGACCCACCCTCGGTTGGGAGGATTGGTGAGCTGTGCGATGGAGGTTACATGTAACAAACAACTCCTGCTCTCAGGTGGTATGTTCCCCATCAGACACTCTCAGATGGGGTTTTGCTGCAATTAGGCACCCAGAAACCTTTTGTTAATTCCTAGGTTGTTGGACACTTTGTGTAAACTGAGGCTGGGTTTCTTCAAAATTTCCTGCCATGGAGTGGAAGGTCTAGGATGGCTCCTGGGAATCATTTGGTTGGGGGGACTCCGTTTACTACCAGCTTCCTCCCCCCTCATGCTCTGTGATAGAGGGGAGGCCCCCCAGCTCATAGAGGGGGGCACACAGCTTCAGAAAGATTAACGAACCCTGGCCTCCCTCCTTGGCCAATAATAGTAATGCAGAATATCAAGTCAGTGAGACTGTCAGACTTGGCTTCCTTTTCTCCACCTACCGAGCTATTGAGCCCGGGACGGGTGGGGGTGTGTGTGTGTGTGTGTGTGTGAGTGTGTGTGTGAGTGTGTGTGTGTGTGTGTGTGTGTGTCCATGGGGCAGGTCACATGAGAAAACATTGCCCAAGAGTCCCAGGACACAGTGGAATTGGAGCATACAGCCTCCACCCCCATGTTTGGGAACACAGACAAACGGAAAACCTACGAGCAGCAAACACATAGTCTATGTGCAACCCAATCCCCTGCCCAAAGTCGCCACCCCCAGCAGGGACTCACAGCTCAAGGGGGGGAGGGGTGCTCCAGGACACAGAAGCCACCCACATATTTCGGCAAGAAGAGAGCTGGGGTCAGAAACTGAGGTGCTTGGCAGGTCAGATGGGGTCTATTTAGAATGGTGGGACTCTTCTGTCCTTGAGGGAAAGGGGCCCCCGTAATTGCTATCAGGATTCTCCAGAGAAGGAGACAAGCGTCGGCAGCAGCAGCAGCAGAGAGAAAAGAGCCGGGCTCGGACAGCTTGGGTACAGAGGACGAACATGATGCAGTTGGCACCTCCTTGGAATGTGTTCCCGATTCCCTGCCAGGGCAGAAGGGCAAAAGCATTCACCTGAAGGTCAGAAGGTGCCCTTCCAGATGTGGAAAGACCAAGACCTGTCTGTTCCTTCCTCCTAACATAAATATATATATATATATATATCTCATCATCATCATCATCATCCCCCACACCTAACAGAAGGTTGGCTGCTCCTGTGCACCCTCCCAAGCTAGATTTGGAGTGCAAAAACCTGGGTTCAGATGCTACTTATTACCTGGGTGACCTTGGTCAAGTTCCTTACTCTCTCCAGGCCTTTAAGTTCCTCAACTGTAAAAATGAGGTGGTTGCTGTTCACGGTTCAGTTGGGTCTGACTCTTCATGACCCCATCTGGGGTTTTCTTTGTCTTTCTGTTTGTTTTTTTTGGCTAGGCAATGGGGTTAAGTGACTTGCCCAGGGTCACACAGCTAGTAAGTGTCTAAGGCTGGATTTGAACTGGAGTCTTCCTGACTCCAAGCTTGGCACTGTACCCACTGTGCCACCTAGCTGCCCCGTAAATGAGGGGGTTAGCCTAGGCCTCTGAGGGACCCTATGATCCTTCCCATTCTCATCCCCCTAGTTCCAGAGTAGTCCTAAAATCTGTTCACAATTATCTTCCCAGGGACTTCAGATTAGATTGACCCTCTCTAAAACAGAGGGAGGGGAGGGATGGGATTTCCCCCTCCACAGATGCCCTTGGGGAAGGTTGGCACTGGGCTGGTGGCTCTTGGGGTCATTTCTCTTTTTCCAATTTTGGAGAGAGGACAGCAGCCCTGAATCCACACACCCTGGAAACTTGCTCAGTCTGTATATCCGAGGCAGGACCCCCCCCCCCCCCCCACTTACATGTAAGACCACCAGCACAGGAGTCTGCACGGCAGGGGAGTTACAGAGAGTCAGGATGAATCTGACGGTGCTCCAGACCCGCAGGCAGATGAAGATGAGAGGGATGAGAATGAGCTTCTTATCCGCTACCGCGGTCCGGTGCTGACAAGCGTGCATCTCTGCCAGGAGAGGTCGGTACTCTGAGAGCGCAGCGCGCTGTGGACAGCAAGGACAATTGAGTTCCTGGCCTTCCCTCTCCTCCTCCCCACCCCCACCCCCACCCCCTGTCCCCAGGTGAGCGCTCTCTCCCTCTTAAAATGAGTGGGCATATATTTGGTATTTACCTAACCTTACACACATAAGAATGGAAACTCTTTGAGGTCAGGGCTGTTCCATTCTTGGTGCCTAGCACACAGGAAGTGCTGGATCAAGGTTTGCCACTAGAGGGAAGCAGAGAGCTGGGCTTCTGGGAACACCTTTTTCCAATAGCCTGGGGGGAGCCCGTGTAAGGTGTTCGGTGGCTTCCCCCGTGGTCCTCCCTAGAATAGCAGCCACATTTGCGGGATACCACGTGCCGAGCCCGTCCCCGAGGAACAAGGACCTGGGAGGCAGCCCCAGCCCACGGTTACATAGGAAAACGGAGCTGACCCTGATCAAGAGGCATCTGTTAGCCTGGGACCTGTTGGAGGGGAGGAGAGAACGGAAGCTCCCTGAAGGCAGCGAATGTTTTACCATTTTTTTGGGTCTTTCTTCCCTGGCACATAGGAAATGGCTGCAGTTCCCTCTGCTTCCTGGGGGAGGCTGGGCTGGATTGCTTGGGTCCAACTCCTCTAAGGTTAAGCCAATCAGGTGTCCGAACTCAGGCTGGCACCGACATGGGAAACCCCTGGGGCAGGGAAGGCCTAGCAGGCTGCCTGAGGAGGACTGAGCTGATCCAGGAGGGAAACCAGAGCAGGTTCAAGCTTTGGAACCAACTGGTACTGGGATGGATACAGAGGCCGGGGGTGGGGAACCTGTGGCCTTCTAGGCCCCCAAGTGCTGCCTTTTGACTGAGTCCAAGTTTTACAGAACAAAGCCTTTTATTAAGGGGATTTGTCCTGTGAAGTTCGAATTCAAAGGGCTGCACTTGAGGACCTAGAGGGCCACATGTGGCCTGGAGGCCGCAGGTTCCCCACCCCTGGATAGCCCATGAGTGTCTGGACGTCCAGCCTGGGTGAGACAGGGAGACCCAGTACTTGTTCCACTTGCCTCCACCCCTCCCTGCCCCCCAAAAGCTTATTAATTAGCCAAGTGTCTCGCACACTGTAGGCACTTACTAAATGTTTCTTTTTCTTTTTCTTTTTTTTCTTCAGCCAAAGACAAGGTTTATTAGAACATCGATTAGGGGTGGGTGAGATTTAAAGAATCCGCCATATTGGCCAGACTCTTAAGGAATCTAAGCATTTGTATTGCTAATGAAAGCAGGCCAGATCTTAAGAATCTAAGCCCCAAACATTTCTTGATTGAGTCCCAGCTCAGCTACTGAGAGGAGGCAGCTTGGTGCAGCTGCACCTGCAGTCAGAGAGCCTGGGTTCAAATCCTGACTTTGCCGTGACCCAGGGCAACTCACTTTACTTCTGTGTCCTCCTTGGGAGGAAGCTAGGACCCACTCTAACCGGGGACCTCTGCTAAGCCTGGATTCAGGACCACAGTCCTCTCTCCATTACTAGATGACCTCAATTTGAACTAGATGACCTCAAGGTCCCTTCCGTTTCTAAATCTAGCCCTAAAGGAAGCTCGATTCCTGGCTTCAGCCACTCTTTGAGGGCCCCCTTCCCCGAGGGATCTGTAGTCACTTCCTCCTCTGCAAAGGAGCTCACCCCAAGTGCAGTCCCAGCTGAGGAATCAGGACAAATGAGCCGGCAGAACTTCAGAATGCACTAGATCAGGGGTGGGGAACCTGCGGCCTTAAGGCCACATATTTGTTCTATAAAATTTGGAGTCAGTCCAAAGGCTGCACTAAAGGACCTGGAAGGTGTCATGTGGCCTTAAGACTGCAGGTTCCCCACCCCTGCACTAGGCTCTCACACAAAACAGACTCTTGTGCCTGGGACATTTATTTGTAAGCTCTTTGCCCTAGACTGAGTCAGGGAGGCCAAGCTCTGCCACACACTTGACTATGTGACCCTGAGCAAGCCCCTTAACACCTCAGGGCCCCCGCTTATGTGGGTAGAAGGAGTTTTGTGGTCTGCGGGTCCCCAAGAGTCCCCAGCAGCCTATGGGCAGTTGACTCTGTGGACTATTTCCATGGTTTCCATGTGGGCATTTCCTTGGAGAGGGCAGGTTGAAGCACACCTGTGCCTCTCATCCTGGGTTAGTCCTGAAGACCCTAATGAGGCCCCACCCAACATACTGGAGGCCTTTCTCTATCTGCTAAGCAGAGCACTCTTAGCTCTTCATCTCAGCACAGGCCCTCCTTTCTTCCATCATACAGTTCCTGGATTATATTGTTTTTATGCCACTTCCTGGGCATAAATGTCATTCACAAACAGGAATGATGGGAAGACCTCACTATCTCTGGCACATCACCATTCTATTTGGACTCAGCGCCAGACCTCCATGGGGGTGGTGATGGCGGGGGCACCTTTGGGGAGCAGGGGTCTTATTTTAGGTGTCACTTGATACTAATGAATGAGTCATTGAACTGAATTCTGGCATGTCATTATCTACTAAGGAATCTTGTATGATCTCAAAATATGGGGGACCCGTTGATGGAAAGAGACTGCACTTGACTGTATTGAATCCAACAAACATTTCTCAAACACCTATAACTCTGCCAAATCCTTCATAAGGCACCAGGGAAAATGAAACAGATGCCATCTCTAGGAGCTTACATTCTACACTGGACTTGAACGTAGAGGGCCATTCATTCAACAAGTTTTTTTTAATTACTTACCATGTCCCAGGTACTGTCCTAAACACTGGGGCTACGAAGACAAAAAGAAATAGTCCCTACCCTAGCTTACGTTCTATCAGTGAGTGGGGGCAGAGAGAATAATGTGTACGCAAATAAGCACATACAAATGATATATAATATATATAGTAATTACGATGCAAGGCAGCTAGGTTGTGCAGTGGATAGAGCACCAGAAGTGGAGTCAGGAAGACCTGAGTTCTAATCTAGCCTCAGATACTTACTAGCAGTGTGACCCTGGGCAAGTCACTTAACCCTTTTTCCCCTCAGTTTCCTCATCTGCAAAATTAACTGGAGAAGGAATGGCAAAAACCACTTTAGTATCTTTGCCAAGAAAACCCCAAATGGGGTCACGAAGAGCCAGACGACTAAAGTGGCTGACCATTGTTATTATTATATGCTTACATTTATTATCATCATTATTATTACTAGCCATGATGGCTAATATGTTTTATATATTTTTTTTAAAGTTTGCAAAGCACTTTTTCATATGTTGTTTCATTTGGTTCTCACAATAACCCTGTAGGATGACCAGGCTTGACACCACTAGGTCAAATGTTTCTTTAAACAATCAGTAAATAATAAACTCAGGGTGATCTTGTGTTCTCTGCACTTGTCAGTCAATTGCATGACTGAAGACAGTCCACAAAAATCCTTCTCTGTTCTCATGTATTTTGTTTGTTTTTTTTTTTTTTTGGTGAGGCAATTGGGGTTAAGTGACTTGCCTGGGGTCACACAGCTAGTAAGTGTCAAGCGTCTGAGGCCAGATTTGAACTCAGGTCCTCCTGACTCCGGAACTCTATCCACTGCACCACCTAGCTGCCCCCATGTATTTTTTTTAAAAGTCAATAATACCTTTGATACATGTACAGATCATTTTTAAAGATCTTGTAGGAGTGGAAAAGAGGCAGGTGAGTCAGTAGTTACTGGTGTCTGTTATCTAGTCTTTTGGGGATGATGATACCATCCACAGTCTGGGCAATAGACATTCTTCAGTCACTTGGACTTTCCAGCATAAATAGACTTTTTGAGTAGTTATAGACTTTTTGTAGAAGGTTCCACCAACACGATTCTCTAGAGGACCTCACTAACCATAGAGAAATCCTCTTCAACACGGACTCTAAACTGTATCTACCTGATCTATGGCACCAACACACATCTATTATAGGTCTCCTGAGATTTATGATCTAAGAGTTGTTGAAGAGTGTTATTTTTGTTGCTTTCTCTTTCAAGAAATCTTGGATGATTTGAGTAGGTAGATGGATGGGAGATATCATGTTGGAAAAGAACCTTTAGGGAAGTGTTTTTCTCCACCAACTCAAATAATTTTTCATAATTAACAAACATCAGGTACAATGGGATTTTATATTCTCTAGATCTTTCGGTCAACTGTGAAATGGTAAAGCTGTGACCCATCATTGAATATTACTTTCAAAAGCCTGCTTGTCCCCTACTAATGATCTCACTGAGGATATTTCTGTTTGTATATTAACGACTTGCATAAAGATTTCACATAGGTGGATGAGTAAATATAGAACTAGTTACTGTTTTCTTGGTTATCCCATTTTTTTGTATTAACAATGTCTGAAATATTTTCCTCATTCTATTGGCATTTTCCCTCTCTTCAGTCCCTTCGTATCCTCACAACTGTGTCTTCTTCTGCACAGATCTTTCCTATATACGTTTTCCCATTCCATCTGTTTTCCCATCTTTATTCTTCTCAGGGCCATTTCTACCAGCAAGCATATCTGGAAGTGAAGGTAGATTCCATGTCTGGTGGTTCTACTCTTCTTGGTGGTAAAAGTAGTTGGCAGTCATGGTTATAAATTTTCTTAGTTTTCTTCTTGCAAAAGTTGTTATCTTCCCTTCATTTTCATCCTTAAATGCCCTTAGGATTACTTTGCTCAGCTGGAGCTCTTGCCACACTCTCTTTACACTAGTTTGACTTTCCACTGCCTCTCTCTTCTTTACTGTCTTGTCATAATCATCCATCATCCATCTTCATAAGACTTTACAGAGAAGTTGTTCTGGGCAGCTAGCTATCTCTGCTTGGGAAGGAAGTCAAATTTTTGTCAGAGGTGGTATCTGAATTCAGTTCTTCACAATGTCGAGGAGAAATTGGAGAAAGGCCTCCTCACACTGGGTAGGACCCTCTTGGTGACCTTATGGAAGCATGATATGAACAAGAGTGGCATAGGAAGGGCAGACATGGACAGGTTGAGAACTGTGCTGTTGGAAGGAACTCCCAAGACAATGAGATAGT